CAAGAGCAAAAAAGTCTTAGAAGTGACTATTACACAAGCTCTGAAAGTGTCAAACGATTTGGTGAATGTTGTGTTTTTTTGTCACAAGTACCATGGAAGTAGCCTCAGTATTTGTCAAATAATCAATCGGTACAAAAACATGTATCTCTCATGATTAATGTTGAAATGATACATAGAAATTGTCATACGTATGAAAATAACATGTCTGTCCATCGATTATAAAATTGTGCTCGTTCTTTGTCATTTTTAATAATTTTCTAATGTATGTTTTAAGAATATTTAGACAAGTAAAGAATATGTCGTATTAGTCATTTTCATGACAAAACATTGCCACGTCGACAGAACTACACAAATTTATATGACGTTAGTTTCTATGTTTTTTATCTATTTAAATGCAATAACACATACGAAAAATGTTAGGTAATCATAAGAACGATCGAAAAATATCATCATGATACAGTACACAGAATAGAAAAATCGTATTCTAGCTGGAGATTTCTTATTCCAACACATCACTACTTTTTTCTAGATAGTCAAACAATGTAGAATTTCGAACTGTAGACATAGCTGTTATTAGAATTTATGCTTATTATTTATTATTGAAAAAGTACACATGCCATTAAAGGAGCTTGCGATTAAAATAACTACCCCATTTTTGTTGCTATATGATGAATTTTAACTAATAATTTCTATTTGAATAGTTCTTATAACATTTCTCTATCAGTAAATCCGACGTCAGCTCGGTCTTCAGAGCCTTGGAGACCTCTTGTAGGAGACTACAACTATAGACTTCATGATTCTTTCTTTATATCTCTATTGTTTGACTTGTTACAGTTATATGTAAACTGAAAATTCGTTAATGAATCGGTATTCGCGTTTTGGATTTATCTTGATCTTTCTTTATGATATCATCCGCTTTTTACTTATATTACATTTCAGCGAACAACAAGTCAAACCAAATGTTTATTACAATATTGCTTGTAATATTGGCTATTTTGATCACTTTATTGTTGTTGGTTATATTGTCTATAGTTTATTTGCAATATGTTTCCAAAAGTCGCGTACGATTTGGTTATTTATCCAAAATATCAGCACTGACTTCAATTAAATTTCCTCAACTTGAACAATATCGTCAAACATATAATCCAGCTAATCCACAATGTCGATGTCATCCGCATCATGCTACGATTATTGAACCTCGAAATGATTGTTTTCATAGATCAGATACATTATTTATTAGTTTTGCTGGTGGTGCTCTGCTTGTTGGAGGATTTACATTGACAGAATGGAAATCAACATTTACAAAATTTAATTTACAAGCGGATACATTATTTTTAACTGATCCCGCACAATCATTTTATTTGCAAGATCCAACCTATTCATGGCAAGGATTGAAATATTATCGATCTTTAATACAAAAATATTCTAAATTATATAAGCATGTTATACTAATTGGCGCTTCAATGGGAGCAAGTATGGTTTGTATGTGTAGCGATCTTGCTACACTTTCAGTTGCATTCAATCCAA